GGGGTATTTTTACATTCTACACTACACTCAAGTTCACCCCTGTAATTATCTTGGGGTATTTTTACATTCTACACTACACTCAATTTCACCCCTGTAATTATCTCGGGGTATTTTTACATTCTACACTACACTCGATTTCACTCCTGTAATTACCTCGGGGTATTTTTAGTTTCCACATTACACTGAGGTCACCCCGGTTTCGCCCCACACTTGTCCTGGGATAAACAGATGCTGTTATAACCAGGGATAAATGCTAGGTATTGTGTCATGAGTTGAACTCTGATAAAACCAGGGATGAGATTCAAGTGCGGGAAGGACCAAAGCCAGCAGAGTTTGAGGAAGACATGTATCCTGCCCCAAAGCTGGAGGTCCAAGATAGGGTTGCCAGCTCCCCCTGGCCACCAGTGGAGCGAGTGGGTGGTAGGGGTGCCAGCTCCAGGTTGGGCAACTCCTGGAGATTTGGGGATGGAGCCTGGGGAGCACAAAGGGACCTCAGTGGGGTCCAATGCCACCCTCCAAAGCAGCCATTTTCTCTAGGGCAACTGATCCCTGTAGCCTGGAGAGGCGCTGTAATTCCGGGGGATTCCTCAGTCCCACCCTGGAGGCCGGCATCCCTCGCTCAAGATGGCCTGTCAGGGAGAGAGAAATACCACATCAGCAGGCAGGAGATGGGAAGAATAGCTGGCCTGTCAGGAAGCAGGAAGTGTGCGAGAGGCCGCTGGAGAAGAAAGCTGTGAGGGACCGGGGTCCTCTGCGGAAAGAACAGCAAAAGAAGGAGGGAAGGAGAAGAAGGAGCTCAGACACTGGTGGTGGCTCTCGTGGGACAGTGTCCCAAAGGGAAGAAGGCCACGAGAGGCGGCCCTTGGGCTGGCTGAGGCCCACATACCTGGCAGCTGTCGATGCCTCCTTCCTCATACCCGGCACACAGGTTGTTGTAGTGGATCCGGCCGTTGTACCAGCCGCTGCTGTTGCAGAGGTCCAGGGGGATGAGGTTCACTTTTGCCTCCTGCATGATGTCTGCTGTCTGCGACGGCTCTGTGGGCAGAAAGACTCGCTTGGCCTTTGACCCGCATCCAGCGGTCAGGCGCCCAAAAGAGCGCCCCCAGCCTGATGCTCCCCAAATCCAGGAGTCAGGCGGTGGGCGGGCTCTGGATCCCTCCGTTTCGAGGCTCACCCTGCTGGCGTGGCCTCTGTTACCGTTTCCTATAGGCCAGAACTGAGCAAACAGGCTCTACTGTTAGGAATAGTGTTCCCTCTAAGCTGAGTTAGTGTGAGCTAGCTCACAGTTTTTCAGCCTCCGGCTCACACATTTTTGACTTGACTCAGGACGGATGGCTCGAGAGCAAACTAATTTATGCAGCAGCCAAATCGCTCGCTCATACAAGCCCCCATCCCTCGTAACCCCTCCCCCCAGGGAGGCTGGGGTGCTGGAGTTTTTTCCGCCATCTTATCTATTCTGCATTTTTGTCATTTTGACAGGGTTGTTTTATGTTATTGGTATTTATGGGCTTGTTTTAATTTATTTTAATCTGAGATGGTACATTACCTTGTTGTAAGCCGCCCTGAGCCCTACTTGTAAGGAAGGGCGGCCTAGTAAATCCAATTCAATAAATAATGCCAGTAACTCAAAAAAGTAGAATTTTGGCTCGCAAGACTCCACAGCTTAGAGAGCCAGTTTGGTGTGGGAGAGCTGGGAGAGCTGGGTTTGATTCCCCACTCCTCCACTTGCACCTGGCTGGATGACCTTGGGCAAGCCCTAGTTCTGATAAGAGCTGTCCTTGAAAAAGAGCAGTTTGTGTCAAAGTTCTCTCAGCCCCACCTACTTCACAGGGAGCCTGTTGTGGGGAGGGGAAGGGAACGGAGTTTGTGAGCCGCTCTGAGACTCCTTTGGGTAGTGAAGGGCAGGGGGATAAATCCAATCTCCTCTTCTTCTTAGAGGGAGCATTGGGCTATGAACCCAGGTGGGGATACAGACCAGCAGAATCATCAACCCGTTCTTATAGCAGAAGCCTTTGAAGAAGCAATCTGGGCTTTTGCTTCCCGGCTGGAGAGCTGGATTCAAGGCCAGTGGCACCCGGGAGACCAACAAGGTTTTCAGGGGGTGAGCTTTAGAGAGGATGGTATCTGACCCTGAAAATCAGGTCGGTCTCTAAGGTCCTACTGGATTGAATCTAGTTCTTCTCCTGCAGAGAACTCCCAGCTGGGTTTGCTCTACAAAAAGTCTTCAAGCAACATCTGGACAAACCCGTGTCAGGGATGCTCCAGGCTGGTCCTGAATTGGGTAGGGGGGTTGGACCAGATGGCCCCTTCCGACTTTGTGGTTCTGTGATTCTACGATTCTATGGGCTCCCCCACCCCCCTGTGGTCCCTGTCTCTGCTTGGCCAGCTCATCCGTTGTGAAACTATATTCACTTCCCCATCGGCTTGCCCTTCGTCCTTCGTCCGTGGTCCTGGATCAGAAAATGACTGCACAGCTCATGCAAGGTGTTGGGTGGTTCCTCACCTGTCCTTGAAAGTGAAGACTTGGGAGCTAAGCTCTGGTCGGGAAAAACTCACATGGACACATGAGGCTGCCTTATACTGAATCCGACCCTTGTTCCTTCCATCAATATTCCAAAATATTGGAAACAAATGGGGCAAGTGATGCTCTGTCTTCTTGGTGCTTGGGGGGGGGGTCAACAGTGGGAGGGCTTCTAATGTCCTGGCCCCACTGCTGGACCTCCTGATGGCACCTGGTGTTTTTGGCCACTGTGTGACACAGGAGTGTTGGACTGGATGGGCCTTTGGCCTGATCCAACATTGGCGTCTCTTATGTTCTTATGAAACACCAAAGAAGCAAGAGTATGTGAATAAACTGTTGGAGACGGCTGAAAATGACAAATTGTCATCATTGATGAGAGGGACAACAGACCCAACATTTCAAAAGATGTGGAAAAAACTGTATGACTGGTACAATATAAATGCATAGCTTAAAGTAATGAAATTTTTGGTATTATTAATCCTTTTAAGTTAAATAGAAACTCTGGTAAAAAAAGATGAGAGTATATAGAAACTTAAGCAAATTTATAGAAATTCTTTAAATATGGTAATAGAGTTATAAGAAAATATACTGATCTCTTTGTATGTTTTATGTGTGTAAGTGGTTGTTTGTTATGTAGTATGTTTGTTTGTTGGTGTATAATATGAAAAATAATAAAAGTGTACCTTATGGGTACTTAAAAAAAGAAGAAGGAGAGGAGGAGGAGAAGGAGGAGGAGGAGGAGATTGGATTTATACCCTGCCCTTCACTCGGAGTCTCAGAGGGGCTTACAAACACCTTTCCCTTCCCCTCCCCGCAACAGACACTCTGTGAGGTAAGTGGGGCTGGGAGAGCTCTTTCCAGAGCCGTCCTTGAGATAACAGCTCTGAGAGAACTATGGCTTGCCCAAGGTCATCCAGCAGCTGCAAGTGGAGGAGTGGGGAATCAAACCCAGTTCTCCCAGATTAGAGTCCGCGCACTTAACCACGACACCAAACTGGCCAGGGTGAGGACTCTCTTCTCAGACTGGCAGTGCCTCTCCAGGGTTTGATCATGTAGAAGGTCTTTCTCATCACCTACCACTGATCCTTTCCACTGGAGATGCTGGGGATTGAACCAGGGGCCTTCTGTATGCCAAGCAAAAGCTCTGCCACTGAGCCATGGCCCCTCCCTGCTCCGAGGACCCTGTGCTGTGCATGGAGTAGACCCCAAGTTTGATCACCAGTTACGAGAGGACAGGCCAAGACCCTGGAGCAGGCGATGCTGCCTGGGGGGGAGCGATGTTCTGACCCCCAATGATGCCTGTGTTTTTTTTTTCTCTTTGATGCGCATCATGGGGCTCTCACTTGACACATCGGTGACGCCCCAGCCACTGACGTAGCAGTGAGTCAGTGCTGAAAGATCCACATCTTCGTCTGGCAGGCAGGCAGGCTGTACGTAGTCGGTGCAGTTGACAGGTGCACTCAGCTCCATCAAGGCAACATCGTTGAAGCTCCGCCGGGACTGGTACAGCTGATGCTCCACCAGGTTCTTGATGGTGCGCTCCTGCACCTCAGGCCCAGGCTGAGAAAGCTGCGTGGCGCCAATGACCAGCTTCCAATGTTCCAGAAACCTTTAGCAGAGAAGGAAAGGGATTAGGTTTACCTCGAGTAACTCAGTGGGCTCTCTAGTTCCGTGGCTGTTGCTTTGGCCCACATGCCTCGTAATAAAGCCCTTGGAAAGAGCCAGGGAAGAGCAGTGACCTTTGGGGCTTCCAGTTCTGTGCATCCTGCACATGAGCTGTGTTCAGACAGTGAGCTCACACGTGACAGTCAGGAGCAGAGACAGCAGGGCATGATCCGCTCTCTGCACCCAAGCACGGATTATTCAACAGGGCTGTTGTTTCAGATGCCAGGCTGAGGAAGGAATTGTCCAAAACAAAGGCCAAGGTAGGCAAGATTAATAGTGGGATGCAGGAGGGACCAGCCTTCAGGTCTCAAGCATTCCACTCGAAAGCTATTCTCTTCCACTCCTTGACTGGCTGGGGGAGTATTTCCTGTTGAGACTGGGAGCGAAGCCTCAGCATCTACCCCTGACTCCATCCAGTCTGTCGACTGGAAATGTGAGCTGCCTGTCACTGAAAGGGAGGGAGCCTGTGCTTCTTCTTTACTGCTGCTGCCTGCACCACAGTTCTGCCTGCCTGCCTGCCTGCCAGCCATCACAAGCAAAAAAGTTTCCCTTGCTCGAAAGCCAGTTGAATTCAACTTTAGGGGTGTGGTGCTCATCTCCGTTTCCAAGCCGCAGAGCCAGCGCTGTCCGCAGACTTCTCTGTGGTCATGTGGCCGGCGTGACTAGACGCTGAGGCGCATGGAATGCTGTTACCCTCCCACTGAAGCGGTACCTATTTATCTACTTGCAATTTCTTGCTTTCATACTGCTAGGTTGGCAGGAACTGGAACCAGAGACGGGAGCTCAATCCGTCATGCAACACTCGGGTCTCGAACTGCTGAACTACCGACCTTCCAGTCTGCAGTTCTGCGTCTTAACCACTGAGCCACCGCATCACAAGCAAAACCTTCCCCTTATTCTCTGCAGTCCTACTAAGCAGGCTGGCCCTGTGCCTGACTACTCTTAGTGGAACTTAGAATAGCTGGCTTCGTCTCTACCCCCTGCAAAATTTGCCTTCCCTTCCAGAGTATGCATGCCTCTGTTCCCTGAAGGGCAGTCATGCTGGCTGGCTGATAGAGAGGGATTTACTGTGCCAATGTGACCAGGGGCTCTCCTTAGGTTGGCGTTTCCACCCAACTGCAAACGGAACAGCTGCCTGAATGCTTCGCCTTTTTTCGGTCCAGCGCATGCAAGCAAAGCCTGTGCCCTTTCTACCAAGCATGGCTGCAAAGAAAGAACAACACAACGAATCACTGGATCCCAGGCCACATAGAGTCAGAAAGACCTCCCCAAACCAGTGATATTGGCCCATGATTGGCAGAGAGGGGAAACCACGAGCACAAGGGCAGTGCTAGAACTTTTACGACCAAGTTGGTTACGGTTCAGGTTGGACTGCAGTGAGCAGTGCTCCCTTTAAACTGTGGAGTCTTGTGAACAAAAATTCTACTTCCTGAGCTGAGGCAAAAATGTGTGAGCCGGAGGCTAAAAAACTGTGAGCTAGCTCACTCTAACTCAGCTTAGAGGGAATACTGCTCTGGAGCCATCCTTCCTGAGCTGAGACAAAAATGTGAGAGCCAGAGGCTAAAAAACTGTGAGCTAGCTTACTCTAACTCAGCTTAGAGAGAACACTGCTCTGGAGCCCTCCTTCCTGAGCTAAGACAAAAATGTGTGAGCTGGAGGCTCGAAAACTGTGAGCTAGCTCACACTAACTCAGCTTAGAGGGGAAACTGCTCTGACGCCATTCTTCCTGAGCTGAGAAAAAAATGTGTGAGCCAGAGGCTAAAAAACTGTGAGCTAGCTCACTCTAACTCAGCTTAGAGGGAACACTGCCCTGGAGCCATCCTTCCTGAGCTGAGACAAAAATGTGAGAGCCAGAGGCTAAAAAACTGTGAGCTAGCTCACACTCACTCAGCTTAGAGGGAACACTGCTCTGGAGCCATCCTTCCTGAGCGGAGACAAAAATGTGGGAGCCGGAGGCTAAAAAACTGTGAGCTAGCTCACACTCACTCAGCTTAGAGGGAACACTGCTCTGGACCCATCCTTCCTGAGCGGAGACAAAAATGTGTGAGCCGGAGGCTAAAAAACTGTGAGCTAGCTCACACTATCTCAGCTTAGAGGGAACACTGGCAGTGACTAAGGTTCCAGCTGGACACCTCTCATCCCGGAGCAGAAACCCGGGCACAGCTTTCATTGTATGGGCCAATCTCCACCCGCCCCCCTGCCCCCGCAGATTCACTCACTGTTTATGTAGGAAGCAGTGGGCGGCCGTGACCACCCAGCGAGAGCTGATCAGGGAGCCCTTGTTTATGTAGGAAGCAGTGGGCGGCCGTGACCACCCAGCGAGAGCTGATCAGGGAGCCCGCTTGTAGCCATTGCGGGTTGGGATCTGGATACTGACCATCCAGGGCCAGGTTCCGGGCAGAGCATTCGTGCCTCCTATAACTCGTGTCGAGCCACCGTGGCTGGGAGCCAACGGACGTCGTCCGCAAATGCCACTGGGGAAAAAAACACAGACACCCAGAAGTAGAGACGTGCTGCCATGCCAGGCATATATGTAGCAGGCATCAGAGGAGCAGGAAAGAACATGAGAGAAGCTGTGCTGGATCAGGCCAGTGGCCCATCCAGTCCAACACTCGGTGTCACACGGTGGCCCAAACCCAGGTGCCACCAGGAGGTCTACCAGCGGGGCCAGAACTCCAGAAGCACCCCCCACTGTGGCCCCCCCAAGCACCAGGAGGTCTACCAGCGGGGCCAGAACTCCAGAAGCACCCCCCACTCTGGCCCCCCAAGCACCAGGAAGACAGAGCATCACTCCCCCAGGCAGAGAGTTCCATCTAGACCTTGTGGCTAATAGCCACTCATGGATCCTCCCCTCCATACGTTCATCCAATCCCCTCTTGAAGCAATCTATGCTTGTAGCTGCCACCACTTCCTGCTGCAGAGAATTCCATGGGTTAATGACTCTTTGGGTGAAGAAGTTGAGTGAGCTTGGTGTAGTGGTTAAAGCATTGGTCTAGGACTTGGGAAACCCAGTTTCAAGTTTCCACTCAGCCACAATGCTTACTGAGTGACCTCAGGCCAGACACAGTCTCTCAGCCTAAACTATCTAACTACCTCAGAGGGTTGTTGTGATGATTAAATAGAAGTGGGAGGCCCTGAGCTCTCTGGGAGAAGGGACAGATCAAAATAGCTTGTGAAAGTACAGGAAGGAGGAGGAAGAGGAGGAGGAGGAGGAGGAGATTGGATTTATCCCTTGCCCTTCATTTGGAGTCTCAGAGTGGCTTACAATCTCCTTCCCCTTCCTCTCCCCACAACAGACACCCTGTGAGGTAGGTGGGGCTGAGAGAGCTCTTTTGAGGGCTGCCTTTGCGAGAACGGCTCTGAGAGAACTTGTGACTGACCCAAGGTCACACCAGCAGCTGCATGTGGAGGAGTGGTGAATCAAACCTGGTTCTCCCAGATTAGAGTCCACACTCTTAACCACTACACCAGACAATCCCCTGTTCTGTTGGATCCCCGGCACTTCAGAAAATCCTACAGTCCTCCTGAGTTTCCGCTCAGCAATGCTACCCACTTCCCTTACTCCCAAGGGGATACCAAAAACAAACTGCATATTAACTGTTGCTATCAGCCACTGTGAGAATATCTCCGGCTACATGGAGTTGGACGTCTAGCACTCTGGATCTGCGTTGCTAGTTAGAGGCTTCACCTAATTGCTGAACCTCCCACTTTGCTCCTAAAAGCTAGCATGTGGGGTTATCTATCGCAACTTGAAAATTTAAAACTATTGTGCTCTAAGAATGCGAGCTTACCCCCATTACTGCACTTCAGATAGCAAGGCTGAATAGGTGCGCTGTGTAGGCTTACAGCATTAAAAAAAAAGGCTTAATAAGCAAATAAAAAGAATACACATGATCTGTTCAAGCATTCGAACTGAGCAAGGGGAAGAAGAGAAAGTGAAAGCATGCAGTCCCCCTTTCCTTATGCTCAGTACTTATCCTAAACGATGTTTAAGTAGGACAGGCTAGTATTATTTGACACTGCAGTTGTTTAAAGTTCAGCATTACCTTAATTCTCCTCTTTGAGAGCCCTACCCATTGTCCCTTGTCATGTGGACAAGATGGAGTTCCTAGGTAAAGGCTTAGTCCTGCATGGAGGTCAGAAGCCATGAGATATGATTCTCCTCTGTGTCTTAAGAATTTACAATCTCCCCTTGGAAAAGTCCATCCCACCTTGGGGTACCTTGGATTTTTCTGCCTCCAAGATGAAGAGTATACTATCTAGCCATTTGGCTCCTAGCAGTCTTGGCCCCTTTAGGTGTGACATTCTAGCAAGGTGTGAGAAGGCAAACCATGTCCTACTTTAGCCAGAACCCATCAGCATATGTAAGCACTAAAGTACTTGGAGCTTGGTGGCTCATCCCCTGTCTTCCTCCTTCCTGCCACCTATGAGTCCCAATGGCTAAAATTTCAGGTTTGTATTCGAGGGAAAAGTGCATTTCTGCACAGTACTAAATAAAGTTAATGAAGAGGAGATGAGGAGGAGGAGGAGATTGGATATATATATATATATATATATATATAGGTGTCTCAGAGCAGCTTACAAACTCCTTTCCCTTCCCCTCCCCACAACAGACACCCTGTGAGGTAGGTGGGGCTGAGAGAGGACAGAAACAGCTCTTTTTCAAGGACAGCTCTTATCAGAACTACAGCTTGCCCAAGGTCCTCCAGCGGGTGCAAGTGGAGGGGTGGGGAATCAAACCCCGTTCTCCCAGATTAGAGTTACTTAACCACTACACCAAACTCACCTTCTTGGTCATGGCACCAAAGCGCCATGTGAGTAAGTTGTGTAAGAGTTGTGCGACAGTGGAATCAGCTGCCTGGGGAGGTGGTGAGCTCCCCCTCACTGGCAGTCTTTCAGCAGCGTCTGGAGAAACACTTGCCAGAGATACTCTAGGCTGATCTTGCATTGAGCAGGGGTTTGGACTAGATGGCCTATATGGCCCCTTCCCACTCTGTGGATTCTATGATTAAGAATCCACACTTTGCCACAACCAATATTCTATACTGAGCGATTAAGTGCATTGAGCAAGGCTGTGTGCCAGAGACAGAGGGCGGAACAATTGCCACCCTGAGAAATGTATAATGGATTCTAGAGTTCCCCAAATGCCTTCTTGGGTTCCAGAAGTCACAGCCTACGAGCTACCTAACAAAAACACAGGGAAAGAAATCTGGAAAGCAAGAAGCCAATTTGACTCATACATGTGGTTGTCTATGTGCAGATATGGACATGTTATGGCCAGTCATAAAACTGGGAAAGGCCTGTATCAAAGTGATTCATACAGATCATTTCTCACTCCTTAATATATATCATGCATTCTTTACAACTGCCTTAACTAACTGTTTGGAACCATGTTAAGGAAAGCGTACCCATAGAACAAGAAAAGAGCAAGAGGAGTGAACTGTGACTCATGAAAGTTCCTACCCCGCCACATATTTTGTTAGTCTTTAAAGTGCTCCTGAACTCTTGTCCCAGTGTGTGTGAACAAGATCTTGGGGTACAGGTGGACCATAGGTTAAATATGAGTGGCCAGTGTGATGTGTATTAACAAAAGCATAACATCCAGATCGCAAGATGTCTTAGACCCGCTGTATACTGCATTGGTCAGGCCACACCTGGAGTCCTGTGTGCAGTTCTGGAGGCCTCACTTCATAAAGGATGTGGACAGAATGGAGCGGGTGCAGAGGAGAGTAATGAAGAGAAGAAGAAGGAGAAGAAGGAGAAGAAGAAGAAGGACCGTGAGGTAGGTGGGGCTGAGAGAGCTCTGACAGAAACGGCTCTTTTTTCAAGGACAGCTCTGCCAGAACTATGGCTTGCCCAAGGTCATCCAGCAGGTTTCCCCAGATTAGAGTCCACGCACTTAACCACTACACCAAACTGGCGTACACCAAACTGGATGATCGAGGGCCTGCACCAAACTGGATGATCAAGGGCCTGGAGACCAAGCCCGACAAGGAAAGGCTCAGGGACTTGGGAAAGTCTGGAGAAGAGGAGACTGAGGGGGGACAGGATGGCTCTCTTGAAGTCTTTGAAGGGCTGTGTCACGTAGAGGAGGGCAGGGAGTTGTTCCTGTAGGCAGCAGAGGAGAGGACTCGCAATTAAATTAAGTGCGGGAAGGTACCAGATAGACAACATTAGGAAAAGCTTTTTGACAGTCAGAGTTGTGCCACAGTGGAATCAGCTGCCTCGGAAGGTGGTGAGCTCCCCCTCCCTGGCGGTCTTTAAGCAGCGTCTGGACAAAAATTTGTCAGGGATGCTCTAGGCTGTTCCTGCATTGAACAGGGGGTTGAATTAGATGGCCTGTATGGCCCTTCCAACACTGTGGTTCTATGGTTCTGTGATTCTTGCTCATTTCTGATGCTCTAGACAGACTTGCTTGATCTGTCTCCACAGAACAAGATCAGTCTTGTTTTAAGCTGTAAAAGAAGCTTGCCAATACTGTGAGGTACTTGGTGAATATGACTGGAAAGTGAAAGAAAAAGAAAAGAAAAAAAGCCAAGCAACATCCCACTACCGTATTGTTGATGCCCCGAAACTGATTGGAAATATGGTTTTCAGAGATACTGGAAATCTGTGCTGCTTTCTCCCCTGCTGCCGCTGCCGATACGATGGATATTTTTGTTGTTCAGTCGCACAGTCGAGTCCGACTCTTCGCTACCCCATGGACCAGCTCCCACCAGGCCCTCCTGTCTTCCGCCGTCCTCTGAAGCTTGCTCAACTTCATGTTCGTTGCATCGATGACACTGTCTAACCATCTCATCCTTTGCTGTCCCCGTCTTCTTTGACCTTCAGTCTTTCCCAGCATCAGGGTCTTCTTCTCCAGTGAGTGCTCCCTTCTCATTGGGTGGCCAAAGTATTTGAGCTTCAGGATCTGGCCTTCCAGGGAACAGTCAAATGGGCCTTAGAAAGCATTACTAACAACAAAACTAGTGGAGGTGATGGTATCCCAGCTGAGCTATTCAAAGTCTTAAAAGAAGATGCTGTTAAAGTGCTGCACTCAATTTGCCAACAAATTTGGAAAACACAACAGTGGCCACAGGATTGGAAAAGGTCGGTATACATTCCAATCCCAAAGAAGGGACAATGCCAAGGAATGTTCAAACTATCGCACGATGGATATAAATTGTGCCAATAATCCAAAACGCTTGTCCCAGCAATGATTTGTGGGTCATCTACATTGAGCAGCACATAATTTATGAACAGAAGCAAGATGGAAATTGCCAAAGGTGGAAAGTCTACCAGTTCTCGAGTTGAAGAGCAGATGATAAAAGCTGAGGAAATTAATGACCCGAATCCTGGTTGAGACTCATGTCTTGTCAGGGGAAAGATGTCTAAGGAATGATGCCTGTCATTAAAATGGACTAAATCTCCTGTGTATTGGACTCATCATCTATGCAGAGTAAACCTTACAAAGGCAGGGGTCATTTCCTGTGGGAGCGCACAGGAGCAGAGCTCTGGCAGTAAGGAGCTCAGGGGGCGGGCACATGCAACAAGCCCCGCCCACTGCTCCCAGCAGCCCTTAGTTGGGCCACGAGGAGCAAGAAGCAGCCAGGCCCGTCTTCAGGTACAAGCTCTCCCTCCTCCGTGAGGGCAGATCTGTGCGCCCCCCCCCCCATAGATAGCAATCCAAAACAGTCCAGTGGAGCCTGAGCGGTGGGTGTTGCCTTCTGACACACTTCCGGAGATGTCAGGGGGTGTGGCACATGCAAATAAGTTATGCTAATGAGCGCCTGTACCTCTTTTTCTACGAAATGACCCCTGTACAAAGGTATTACTTCCTCCTTGAAAATGGATAATTTGTAATTCTTACTGGACTGCTGCTGCTATGTGCTCTCTGTTGATTCTTACAAGTGTAAAAGTTACACTTCAACTTGATCTTTGCTTCGAGTGGTGAAGACGCTGAACGGCAGACTGGAAGGTCGGTAGTTCAGCAGTTCGAGACCCGAGTGCCGCATGACAGAATGGGAGATCGGTCAGGAAATACTCCTGTGTATCAGATCATTCAGGGACACTGGCTGGATCCCCAGAGAAGCCAGTGGAGACCACGTTTGGCTGGCTGGCCTCATCAGCCCCAGGGGTGCTACCAGAATGCAAGAGCGAGGACACTAAATCATAGGTCAGTCACCATTGACACTCATAGTTTTCAGCACATTTGCAAACAATAAAACTCCCAGGCAGCCTGGCGGGCTGATTTCAATAGCAGAGACAATGAATAAGAAGACCTGACCAGCTGCTTCCTTGTTGATCTTGCCGAGGGGCAACATTTGGCCATCTTAGAGGTGATTTTGTTAGAACAATATGGAAGGGGGGAGGGAGAAATTAAATTCATCACACCTGCCTGGAAAATTTAATGGAATTGGAGTGATTAAAAACAGTAATAACATGGGAATAGTATAAAAACATAAACAAGAGAAAGTTAATAAAATGAGTGACATAAAATAATGTTAAAAGAAGAAGAAGAAGAGAAGAGATTGGATTTATACCCCGCCCTTCACTACCCAAAGGTGTCTCTGAGCGGCTTCCAAACTCCTTTCCCTTCCCCTCCCCCACAACAGACACCCCCTGTGAGGCGGGTGGGGCTGAGAGAGCTCTTGACAGAAACTGCTCTTTTTCAAGGACAGTTCTTGTCAGAACTACGGCTTGCCCAAGGTCATCCAGCCAGGTGCAAGGGGAGGAGTGGGGAATCAAACCCGGTCCTCCCAGATTAGAGTCCGCACACTTAACCACGACACCAAACTGGCTCCAAAAGGAGAACCATACAATTTTTTCAGCTAAAATAAGGAGAGCCCAGCCGAGGAGTTCAGTCCTGACACTCGGTAGAGGAAGAGGGACCCACGGGGAGCAGCTTGGAGAGTCCAAGATCCAGGATCTGATGAGAAAGCCGAGACCAGGTAGAGGTCCACATCTCCAGGGGTCAACCACAGCAGCGTGGGCCCCCCTTCTGCTTTCCTCCCTCTGGAGTAGGGCTGCCAACTTTGGTTTGGGAATCTCCTGGAGATTTGGGAGTGGAGCGCCCCTGGAGGGTGGGGTTTAGGGAGGTGAGGGATCTCGGCAGGGTGTAATGCCACAGAGTCCGCTCTTCCAAAACAGCCATTTTCTTCGAGGGAACAGATCTCTGTCATCTGAAGATCAGTTCTAATTCTGGGGAAGGGGGTCCTCCGGGCCCCTCCTAGAGCTGGACCACCCTACCCTGGGTGTGGGGGGGTCACTTACTTGCACCAGTCGTCTTGGGCACAGGTGGGCCAGACTACGAAAAGGGCCAAAATAGGGAGTGGCACCCACTTCATCCTACATGGGGGCAGCAGGTGCCGCTTTCCGCTGCCTCCTCCCGTCGCTTGCGACGTCACAAACCACGCGCTTCTGAGCCTCGTCCAATCCGCTCGCGGACAGTATGATGTCACAAGCACACACACACACCCAGGGATTCTCTGCTGCTGGTTGCCTCTTCTCCCTGGGATGGAGAAATGGCTCCAGCGGGGTTCCTTTGAGGGACTGGCCCTGAGGGGGGGGGGCATTGCTTGGGAATGTTGCTGGCGGGCAAAGGTGGTTCACTTTCTTGTCTGCCACCTTCAGTGTGTGCCCAAATTGTGACTCATCATGTTCCTCTTGGCATTCTTGAGGCCAGTCCCCTCAGGAAATAGGGAAGCACTGGCAGGCCCGTAGCCAGGAGTTTGTGGCTTGCGGGGCAAATTTTTTTCCTGGTGGGGCTGAAGCTCTCAGTGCAGAAAGGGAAGCCATTTAACCAACAGAAAAGCTGTT